CTTTCTAAATGTTTGTGTTCATTTTCACGAGGTTCTGAGGTTCATTCATAAACTTTTTAAGTAATTTTGAGTAAAGCTCCTTTAAAATTTCAGTCTACTTCAGTAATCAGAAACTTGCACAGATCTAAGCTATCAAAACAAATTGTCATGCATTGCTTAGTAGACAGTACAACGTCCAATTTTGACCTATTCTCAGCTATGAGCCTCATCTGCACCTTCAAGGTGGTCTCGAATGCGCCAACTCGTCTTTAAATTGCGAATAAAATAAATGTACAAATTACTTAAAGATACTTGTTCTTATATTTTCATTTTTTTTTTCGCGATGTCAGTGCTCGCTTATTTTTGCTAACAGGTTGTTTTCACCTACTAGTACTTTGGGTCAAACATATAGTATAATGGCACATTTGAATTTATGAAGTCATCATGAGCTAATTCCAAATTTAAAAAATACTGACTCAGCTGAGACAAACTAAAATTGTCTTTTGCACTTTCAGGGGAAACTATTTCCATCTCTTACGCAGAGAAACGTTTCAAATTGTACGATGGAGTGGAGACATTTGTAATGTTCATTGGATATCCTCGTAGTAGTCATAGCTTGGTGGGCGCCATGTTGGATGCACATCCAGAAATTATCATTCCACACGAGTACGATGTGATACAAAATTGGGGAAAATATAATCAGTCATCAACAGTTTCAAAGAGAAACTTGGCAAAATATAAGTTATTTTTTGACCTCCATCACTTATCCACAAAACAAGCAATGTTCCTAAGTCGTTCTAGCGACTCCGTGTCGGGCGATAGATACAAATATAACGTGCCCGGCTTATGGCAAGGAGGATATCAAACAAGGATAAAGGTAAATAAAAAAGTAATATAAATTAAAATAAAATAAAGATTTCGCCCATTTTAATTGATGCTTAAAAGCGTCTTATACGTCAGTAATACAATAATCTTCAAAACAATGCACTGAGTAACAGGGAGCCAGTGAAGCTTGATCAACAACGGAGTTACAGAATCAAACTTCGTTTTACGCAAAAATAGAAGGGCAGCACAGTTCATAACTGTGTTGTGTTCTTGGGCAAGACACTT